AGAGAGAGGGAGAGAGAGAGAGAGAGAGAGAGAGAGAGAGAGAGAGAGAGAGAGAGAGAGAGAAGCGAATTGGTCGCACGAGTCGGTGGGAGAAGGACCGAATGAGAAACAAAGAGGGAATGGGAAAGCAAGAGAGAGAGAGAGGGAGAGAGAGTGAGACAAAGAGAGAAGGAAAGAACGAGCGATGGAATCGACGGTGGATGGGAGCGAGAGAAACGGCAATGTGATATCGAGAGGGGAGTGGGTGATGAACAGAGCGAGCGAGAACAGAGCGGAGAGCGAGAGAGAGAGAACGCGTGCTAGAGGAAGATAGCCGGCAAATGCGGAGCCGCCAGTGCAATCAACCCGTTGCCCACTCGCGAGGGTAAAACTATCCCGAAGTCAGACGAGGATACGTATATTGCGGAGGGAGTCTCGCGTACAGTACGTCACTGTATATATGTATCTATAATATATATACTATACATATAATATATATATATATATAAATATACGTGTGTGTATAAAATATATATATTTTATACGTACGTATATATAAAATATATATGTATATATACATATAAATTGTATATATACCTATTTATATGTATACGTGGGACGTCGAGTAAGTAGGAGATGTAGAGGGAGGGAATGAGCGCGCAGAGCGAGATAGAGACAGAGGATAAAGAGAAACGGGTGCCCGGAGTGGAAAAAAGACCAGGCAAAATTACAAGATTAGATGCCTGCTACCTGTAACGAGACTCTACCGATAAAGCAGCGCACTGCGTTAAAGATCTCGAGGCCATCATTCACGCGTGCTTTTTTAATTCGATCCGCGCTCCCAACCGCGACAACGATCCTCGACGAACAGGCTGTCGACTCGCGCGAAACGCGGATGGTCTCGAAATATATAGATATTAAGATTCCGCTCTGAGAGATAAATTCCCGTGAATTATCCGCCTTGTATATAGTATAGCGACAAACGGCGGAGGGATGGAAGAGGAAAACAGGGTCATCGTCCATCCACTGTCCGCGTTAAACCCATTTCGGTGTCGTAATTGTGAAAACTTTGTTCCTCCTGTAGTATTACAAAACTCGCATTTTACATAACACGCTGTATACAGGAGAATATTATCGACATTTCTCTCGCACGGTATAACCTATCGCGAGCTACGTCCGCGAGTGGATGAAAAACCCGAAGTCACTTTACAGAAAAGTCGCCCTCCGATAGATCTTTCGACAAAATCGGATAAACTTTCCTTTTATGAATAATCGACATACTTATAGAGCTGCACGATTAAGACAGAAACTTGAATTAAATATATCGCGATACGTCCAATAATTTCGTATCAAATAACATTCCACGAGACAATAATATTCCATATCTTTACTTTCTGGATTTTAATATTAATATCAAACTATAAAATTAAAATAATAATATAATAATAGAATGGACTTTTATTATCTTAAGAAATATTATGTTTGATATTGTATTAATGTTAATTTCGTAAAAAAAGAGAGTCTCTTCGTCGAATCTATAATAATTTTATCGAACAGATAGAAATATATTTCGAATTGATCAAGAATTCATAGACGAAGAAAGGAATTATTATAGATAATTTCAGGATGATCGATGGTCGTAATTTCGGATAATCTAGAATTTAACCTCGTCCCGACAATTATGCAGAAGAATTGATACGCGTCAAAGTTTTTTCTGATTTATGCCCCTATTCCGTCAAACGCGGCTCGCACCTATAACATATATATATATGTATATATGGATACGATGTTAAACTCATGCGCGAGGGTGTCGGAGCTTTCGTTCTTCTCGTGGCTGTTGTTGGTAAGGCGCACAGTTGCTCTATTCTCTTGAAACCAGTTTTCCTCCACATAACCGTCGGAGAAGGGCAGATAGAGAGAAGAAGAAGGAGGGAAGGAGAAAAAGAGATACGCGCGCGAAGAGAGAGAGAGACAAGCGTGCGAGCGAAGAAGAGAAAAAGGAGAGAGAGAGAGAGAGAGAGAGAGAGAGAGAGAGAGAGAGAGAGAGGCTCGCATGTGTGTATGCACGCGTGCACACACATTCCGCCGCGCGACTGTATATGTGTACGCTCCGCGTACACATACAGACGCTCCTCTCGCTACACGCACGTCAGCTAAACTAGAAAGTTGCTCTCCGACCGACGTCGCGCGTCGGTCGAAGAAACGCTGCCGCTGCCTGCTCGAGCTAGAGCTCTCTGGCTACCTTTCGAATTTCAACCGCGAATATTTTCCACATATATATATATATATATATATATATAAACGCCACTCGCCGCGTTACGCCGCGCCGCGGACATGCGCGTCCCGGCGAACTGCAAAATTCGATCGACGCGCGCCGCGCCGCGCCGCACTCGATTCTCTCCTCTTGCCGGCCGTGCCGTGTGCGGCACTAACCCACGTATAAAACAACGCGCGGGCGATCGAACGCTGCGTTTTCGAAAGCCCCCGTGTTATCCGTACCGTCCGCGTTTAGCTCTCTCGCGAGCGGCGCGGCACAGCGAGAGCTCGCCACGGATCGGTAGGTGCGATCGATCGAGCGTATATTTGGTCGGAAGCCAAACGATGCGCCGCCACACATACACACGTCGCGTATACATAATATACCATTGCTACACGTTACACGCCGTATATAATGTACGAAGGGGGTTCAGTTACGCTTTAATATTTTATACCGCGCGCTCTGCCTCGTCTAAAAGCGTTACGATTGTAATTGAAGTCGAAGCTTGACTTTTACGCGTAGCGAAATTGTAAAATTGTTTCTACATACAGAGGGGGCGGGGGGGGGGG